GTGACCTTCAGGAATGGTAAAATTATTACCTCATAAGACCTTTCATTCTATAGGCGTTCCACAGCAGAGAAAAGAATGTAGTAGATAAGGCAGCTATCTCCAAGGAAGGAAGGTAGTATTCCATGGGTCTGTTTCCCAATTTACTCTAAAATATTTGGTCTCCCAAGCAATTCACTGATTGGGTCTAAGTGTGCCATGTCAGAGACACAGACAGGCACATCTGTGTCTTTACCCCATGTCAGAATTCATTGAATAACAATAAACTCACAGGCGACTTTGCTTTCTTTGGTTGGCTGCAATTTGCCAAGCAGTCCTGATTTCCCTTGATAGCTGGCTGCTGGCAAACACAGATCATTTGATTACAATCTTAACTACTAATAAAAAAATCTCCATTTTGTACACATTACACATCACACAGCAAATCTACCTATCCCTCTATCCATCTATAGACATGAAGGTTTCAGAACGGCTGTTATAGAGACTGCAGAGTTTAGGGAGCTTAAAGAAATCTTACTGGAGGCAGAGGCAGAGAGCTAGAATGGATGCAAAAGAATTACCAGAGGTAGTTAGATAAGATTAACAAGCCATTTGGAGAAGACTCCAGTTGGAAAACTACCTGAAGCTCGGAGCTGAGTGGCAGTGTTTCAGGGTCCAGCTGAGCTGGAAGGCAAAGGGCCATGGTGATGAGGCACAGCATGGGGCCTGGATGGGTGATGGAATGGGTGGATGGGCAGAAAATCAAGGAAGCCTTGCCAAGTGGTGGAGACACAGCTGAGCTGAAGCCTCAGGGGCAGTCATGAGTTCTCAACCCGTCAGTCCCTTGGCACACACACTGGTCACATGACCGGCTTCTGGGACTGCCTCCATCACAGTGTTAGGTGTCTTCCTCTTTATGGAGTTCAGGAGAGAGCCGCTGGTCTGGTGTGTCCAGTAAGGTCTCGGGTTTTCCTGATATGGTTTTACCTTGCAGTTTTAGGAGTAAGTTACTTTCCAGTCTGCCTCAGGATTGGTGCTGAATGGGAGAAGGTTTCTATGTGTGCTACGAAATACAGAATCCTCCTCTTCTGCCTTTGCACTCAAAATGAAGCCAAAGAAACCTGGAGAGAGGCACAGCTAGAGAGTCGCTGTTTTACACAATATGGAATAACTTAGAGCAGGGCACAGTTGTGACCGCCATGGACTCCTTCCCCAAACCTAGGAACGCCCTCTGCCATTCGTTTTCAGGAGCCCATAACTAAGTAGCTCAGCCAATTACTCAGGAAACGGACCAAGCTCTGGGAAAGTTACCTGACAATAAATCTCGTGTTTTCCACTCCTCTCACTGTGGTTTCTGAGTTTCCCCTTTTCCCTCTGGAGGGTTGGGTGCATCATGTCCCCGTATTCCACTCTCATTTAGTCCAGGAACTTAGCTCAGTCTGTAAATTTGTAGGGATTCAGCTTCCTTCCTCCTTTGCTCTTTTTCCCCCCCTCAGGAAACTTGCCATCAGCACAAACCCACCAAGAACTTCTGCCTTCTCACAATGCCTCAGGAAAAGAAGTTAAGACCAGATCTGAAGTCAGTCTTCCCTCTGATCCGGATAGGTGACCCTACAGCCAAGGGACAGCAGTGGTGTAGGTGAAGTGCTGGCTCTTACTGGGCTCGTTTTCTCTCCCCTCTTTCCCTTGTTCATCCTGCTTGATCAGTTAGCAAACACACATGAGAACCCAAGCGGATTTAGGATAAGGTCGGCTGGAAGCGGATGCAACGGAGAAGCATCCTTGTGCAGTTTTGGCTGTAAAGGAGATGTCAAAACACCTAAGACGTTCTTCGTGTTTCATGAGCTAAGTGTTGTCTTCAGCAACAGGGCCTTGCCATCAGGGGGTGGAGGCACGGAGGCACATAGGAACTCAGAGACTGTGGCAGCTGGTACAAGACCCAAGTAGATTCCAGACAGAAGGGTCCCAGCACTGACAAGTGGATGTGGGCTCCTACCCTTAACCAAGGAACTATCTGCAATTAAGACCCGCAGGCAAAGGGAAAATTGGTTTTCTACAATGGAGTCTCACTAGGTATATTGACTACGTTTCAGGACAGGCCCCAAGCCCAGGAAGAGCTGGCCAACACAACAAAATAAAACCAATGGTGGTTTTTTTTTGTGAACTTTTAATTTAATTGTTCTTTGTTTTAGCATTTTATTGGTCTTTTGCTTGTTTGTTTTGATTTTCATTTTTTATGGGTTTTTGTGTTTCTTATTTTATTTTATTTTTTAATTCTTTTTTTGGAGAGAGAGAAAACAAAGTTGAATGAGGAGGATCTGAGAGGAATTGAGGGAGGGGAAGTCATGATCAAAATTTTTTGTATGGAAAACATTGTTTCAATAAAAAGGAAGAAAAAAAAGGCAGGGTGGTGGCAGCACATGCCTTTAATCCCAGCACTCCAGAAGTAAAGGCAGGCATATCTCTGTGAGTTCGAGGCCAGCCTGGTTTACAGAGTGAGTTCCAGGCCAGCCAGGGCCACACAGAGAAACCCTGTCTTGAAAAACAAAAACGCAAAATGAAACAAAGAAACCAAAAAATAAGACACTATGACCTATGATATCACTTATATGCTAATGAAAGAAACACAGCAATGCAAAAGTAAAGTTTTCCACTGGCGATAATTTCAAGAATGAAGGAAAATGTATTCTAAGGTCTGTGTTTGGAGGAGACAGCAAAATGAAAGTGTGAGTTAAGGACCAGAGGAACAAATGCTATGAGGATACAAAATAAAAGGAAGTTTTGCAAGGCTGGGGAGTTGGCTCAGTTAAGTGCTCACTGCACTCATTTCAGGCCTGAAGTTTGATCTCTGGTGTCCAGGTTAAAAGGCCGGGCTGTGTGGTGCAAACTCCGATTGCCAACAGCGGGAAGTGGAGACGGGAGGATCCCTGGAGTTTCCTGGCCAGACAGTCTAGCAAACTCCAGGTTCAATGACAGCCCCATCTCACAAAGTAAGAGACTGACTGAGGGAGACACCCACACATATCTCTGTCCTCCACACATATGCACCTCTGTATGCACAGATGCATGCACACACATGAGCAATTTTTTAAAAAATAAACATAAGGAGGTTTTATTTGAAATTATTCATAGGAGGAGAGTTTATCTCATCTTGAGAAGACAGGGGATTCTGGAACTAGCTGAAAGGTTTGTAGTGTGACCAGTATCCCAACTCTTCCATTTTTTTTTTTAACCAATAACCCAAACCCCTGGTCATTGTCCTTTCTTCCTTGGGATCTCTGAGGATGTAGCTGACTTTTAGGTGACTAGCCAGTAACCCACAGCCCTAGATCAACCACGTGTACTTTTGTTGGTTAAGGTTTTCCACTGAGAATGATTTCAAGACCGAAGGGAGGTATTCTGAAATCTATGCTTTGAGGAAACAGAAAAAAATGTATCCTAAGCTCATCTTCGCTCCAGTCTGCCAGAGAAGGGCAAAGGAAGACGGTAAGCTCTCCTCTCCCCGCACTGTGCCTTACGACACTGAGATGTGGCCTGGAGGGAGAATCTGCCAGGCTTAGAGAGTGGCTTGAGCTGGCATCTGTTGTGATGGTCCAAACACTACTTTTCCTTTTTTTTTTTTTTTAACCGGAGCTGAGGACCGAAGCCAGGGCCTTGTGCTTGCTAGGCAAGCGCTCTACCACTGAGCTAAATCCCCAACCCCACTACTTTTCATTGTAGAAGGAAAGTTAAGATGGTGCTAGACTATTCTGATACTCAAAATTGGAGAAGGTTCAAGAAAGTATAGGGTTTCCTGAACGATAACATCTACTACTTTCATAGTTTTTGCCATGATGCATTTTAAAGTAAAACAAACAAACAAACAAAACAAACAAACAAACAAAAAAAACCTCTTAAACTAAATACTATAATTGCTGACAACATTGCTTTGACATTTAGGTACATATAGCTTAAAATGTTTATCTGTGTACAACCTAAAGCCTCTCAGATGTGTGAGCATATCATACTTTCTGGAAAAATGCTTTAAAGGGCCAAAGGCTAAGTCAAGAGGCAGAGGCAGGCAGATCTCGTGAGTTTACCTGGTTTACATAGTGAGTTCCAAGACAGCTAGAGCTACTTAGTGAGACCGCGTCTTGAAAGGACAACAAAAAGTATGAGTCTCAGAGCCCCACAAGTCGCTTTGAGATGGGCTGAGAAGAGGGTGGAAGGGGGTTATAGAAGAAGGTATAGTAAGAGAGCTCATATATTGTCTCTCATTTGAGAACACCCATGGAGGAGAGCTCTGTGTTAGACTTGTACTGAACACCAAAGGTAAAGACAGTCTAGACCAAGAAGGGCCTTGTATAGTATATAAACATGGGCTTGGATTTTCTCCATTAAATAGTTGGGCCTCACTGAAGGGTTTTGGGGTGTCAAATACATCTGTATATTAGACATGCAACTGACTTCACCAACCAGAGCTTTAGCCTAAGACAGTCATTTTGAAGAGATAGAGGTTCTATTATACCACCCCTTCACTGGCTCCTTTCATCTTCTCTGCTCCGCCTACCCCGCTTTGCCATCTCTTCCATTCTATACCTACCTATGCTTTTCCTTAACCCATATACAACTAAAACCAACCTGTGGTGAGGGGAAAATGGATTGATGTATAAAAGAACTGAAGAAGCAGAAGGGTCCATCTTGCTTAAAGAGTCCAGCCTCACCACACCTCTAGTTTCTTCTTCCACAGATTTCCTTCCCATCCCCGTTCTTGGTAATTGCCAGGTTTCTTGACCCTGTCCCTACCTGACTCCCAATAACTATGAGCCAAGGGAAAAGAGGGTCTCTATAGCAGGTCTTTCTTGTCAGACTTTCTTTGAACCACCATCTCCCAAATAATGACACAAAGACTTAATATTAATTATGAAAGCTTGGCCTTAGCTTAGGCTTGTTTCCAACTAGCTCTTATAACTTATATTAACCTAAACTCACCTGCTTATATTAATCTATATTCTGCCACATAACTCTTTACCTCTCCTCCACACTGTACATATAATTACCTCTGCATCTCACTGGCTTAATCCCCAGCATGCTTCAGATTCTTCCCAAGTTCCTCCCCCACCCCCAACTCCTGCCTATCCTCTCCTGCCTAGCTATTGGCCATTCAGCTCTTTATTAAACCAATCAGAAGGTGCCTTGGCAGAGACACATCTTCACAGTGTACAAAAAGATGATCCCACACCAGGTTTCTCCTCCAAAGCCTGGTTATTTTCAGCCCCAGAATATAGAAGAGGAAACATCTATTTCTTTTATGTGAAATTCCACCTAATGAGTATGGGTTAGACTTCATAAGCCATACGAGGCAGCTATAATCATTAGCATAGTACTTAAAAATTTAAATTAGATTTATTAACTTTATTTTATGTATGAGTGTTTTGCCTACATGCTGTGTACCGCATGTGTGCTTGGTATCCAGAGATCGGAAGAGAGTACATCAGATTCCCTGGAATTGGAGTTACTAATAGTTGTGTGCTGTTAATTAAACCTGGGTCCTCTGCATGAGCAACAAGTTCTCTTTAAGTACTGAGCCATCTCTCCAACCTCTATCATAGCATTTCCAAGCTAATATCTCCTCTGTCCCACATTGTTGTCCCGTGATATTTTGTGTGTGTATGTGTGTGAGAGATCTGGGTAGAAGTTGTTAGAGGATGGTTAGGAGGTTGCCTAAGAGGCAAACCACGCCCTGAACCGAGGACAGCAGTTAAGATCCTTCATCAATAGACAACGCCCTAAGAACAGGTGAAGCCAGAAAGACCATCTAGAAATGTGACGCCATCCATACTAAAGGTAGAAAAAGTGTGTTATTCATACTCCGAGACCAGAAGGAAAATGAGAAAACATTTTGGGAAAGCACTGAGGCGTGTGATGAGTGTGTCCCTTAAATTACTTTAGTGTTAATACGGCTACAGATTGAATCATTTGAAAAGGGTGAGCGCTACGAAGACTACACTGGCAGTGGGTTTTGGTGAAGAAGGAATCCAGAACCCTAAGAGGTCAGAAATGGCAGTCCCAAAATCTACCCTCTTGGTAAGAGTGAAGACCAGCTTTCCGGTCCCTCCAAACGTATCGCATCACGCCTTCCTTAAGTATCCTTCTAGTACTTTCGGAGATGCACTTTCAATGTGTCCTGTGCTTTGTTGTAGCTTCCAAGAAGTCAGAGGGTGAGAAGCCAACTTCGCAAGTGCCCTGGGAACCACTGACATTTTCAAAGCTCCTGGAAGAGAAGCCCACCAGATGTGTGCCAGGAGATAGCGTCTTTCGCTATGGGAGGGCCCAGCAGTGGGTTATCAAGAATGCCGCTGTCATTAAGTGAAGGCAAATCCTTCAAGTCCAACTCCTGGCTCTCCAAGAAACTGAGGAGGCCTAGAGAAGTCACCAACCAAATAAAGTTCCACACTTGCTGCCTCAAACCCGGGTTGCAGAGGCTGGGAAGCGGGGCGGGGCAAGCCTCGGGGCAGCGCCTGGCCCCGCCCCTGTGCGGCAGTGGGCGGAGCAGAGGGCGTGCCTGCGTCCCTAGGGGGTGAGGGCGGCCACGGCTGCCCGAGGGGGGCGGGCCTTGGCCCCGAGTGACGGCCCGTCGGCCCAACCGGTGTGAGAATACGGGGCCGGCCTTCCTGCAGCGTCTTCCGCTCGCCGGCTGCGGCGCCTGGGACGGTTGCGGTGGGTCTGGGCGCTGGGAAGCCGTCCAAGATGATTAAAAAATTCGACAAGAAGGACGAGGAGTCTGGTACGCGCGGCGCTCCGGACGCCCACCCTCAAGCGCAGAGGTCCCCTCCCCTCGCCCGCAGCCACCTGCTCCGGGGGGCCGGCCGCAGCGGAGGGGGGTCTGCCCGAAGCCCCTCCCCCGGCGCCGGGG